AAACATTTATTGTCATTTCTTTATGTTTAGAGCAACACAATACCAGTGTTATTTGTTTATGGTCAATTCCTGAACAAAATAATTAACAGTCTTATAAATATATATATATATTTATGAACTACTGATTGAACATAAAAATTATATGTCAAAATACAAAATGTAAGAGCGTTTAAATATTATATATTGATAAAACGATCAAATTCCAAAAATCCATTACATTTTTGTTCGAATATTTAAAAATGTCTACTGAAAAATATTAGTTATTTAGTTAAACGCATTTCATAGTTTCGGAATATTTTAATGAAGTTTGTGAGTTTATAGACACTTGAAATTTAAGATTTTTTTTTTTTTTTTGTTAAAGTTAGAACATAAAAAGTTCATCTATTAAAAGATCTGGTTTTTTTTCTTTGTCAACCATCTTCAGAAATATAAACTGATTCAACCAATTTCTTTCACTCAAAATTGTTTTTTTCAAGAGCAATTGTACATTGGTTTAAAGTTCAAAAGATCAATACAGCAATACTTTTCAATCATTTATATATTCATCCGTCTCACCTCACTTTGAAGTTTTGCCCTTTTTAATTTTTAATTAAAAATAGCATTAACGGTATAAATAATAGCTTTTAAATCTATCGAATGTATTCGACAACCAGGGTGCAGACTGTATTGTACAATTACAGGACTATTATAATACTTGTTGTTCAGTATCCATTGGCGCACCTACGGGGGTTCCAGGGGGTGCTTGCAAGTTTTAAATTAGCATTCCTAGTTTATTTTGTGGTAAAAAAGGATAATTTTGCATTTATGATAATGAGTTTATTCCAGTTTGCATTGGTCATGCACTATGCCAAGGACGTAAAATGTACAAACATTATTCATGTATATACAAGTATGCAGTAAGATTATTGTGTATTTATGTTTGTTATATTACCTATTTATAACGCATGTGGTATTGTTATGACAGTCAAGTTTATTTTTAATATTTATTACTGGAATACTATATGATTTTGTTTTTGTTTACCGTCTATATCGTATATTGATAAAAAAGTAATGATGTTAGTAATACTGTTTAGTTATAATAGAAAATAAATAAATTCATAATTAAATAATGAAACTAAAACATTTTGTACTAGTTAAATATAGAAGGGCGTGGAGGCTATTTTCCTTACGAATATCCTTGGATTGAATAATTTTAGCCCTTCTAATTTTTAGACCGAATGAATGCTATGCCAATATCAGTTGATACATAATAATATCAGAATAAAGCAGTTCTAATTTATTAGATACCTTAAAAAATGAGTAAAATTGCATTAAAGAAATGGATACTTCTCTTATATTTATTTAAAAAATTTAACACACCCAAAATATTTTTTTTTTTTAGTTAAACATACCTTGTGTATCTATAAATCATCTACACAATGTTATGCTCAAGTTCATACTAAAACTATTATGACTATAAGAATATACATTTTATAAATTTTGTATACTATAATAAACAACTTTGTAATGTAGAACAAAACGAAAATCTTCGTTCATAACATTGACGTCAGCACACGCCTAACACGCACCGTCAGTTTACATTTTTGATTTTGGCGAATTCCCATAAATATTCTTATATATAAATTCCGTTTCCTAATTTCAAGTTCGCACATTCAGTATTTTAATGATAATCCTATTAAACGTACGTACAAGCCCATTCAATTTTTTTTTAATCGATACAAATCGAATTGGAATCGAATTGGAATCGAATCTAACGTTAGATTTAATTTAAACATCGATGTGAACGTGTTTTTTTTTTGTCTATATGCTAACATTAAACCACATAATTCAAGGAACAGTAACTCATCGAAGATTTTTAGAATAAAAAAAGAATGTCAATAGGAGCTTCTAAAACTGCACATCTAATGTTCTACGGTACACGTACATATAAACTTTTACCAAATGTACGAACAGTCATAAAATGTTTAAATTATTATCAAATGTTATAATATATACGTTATGTTAAATAGACTAATGGTGTTTTACGTTTACTGGGATTACCGATTAGGAGGAATGTTATTATCATAAAATATAATGTAATCTTGCCCGTGAACAAAAAGTGTCTAAATGTTCATTAGTTTGGCGCGGATGATTATATCACTAAATAGGAAAAAAATGTGTGTAAACATTTTGTAATGGACGTATTATAATAACATATAATTTATTCTTAGTTACAAGTAAATGGTATAAGAAGACTTTTTCAGTCTGTCCGTTAATTATATTTTATTTTCTGTATTATACCCCAAAATATATTTTTTCTTGCCGACGTTTTTACATAACATGGAAAACATATAATAAAATAACGATTAAGGTCGATTGTTTTCCGTATCCAAGTATATGGGATTTAAAAGCATTGAGTAACACAATTTTATTTTTTTTCCTTTCTTATTGTATCTTAAAATAGATGGAAGATAATATAACGACAATGTATATTACTGAATATATTTATCCTGATTTATTTGTATAGATTAAAACTAGTTATATAACTATAAAAATATAGGTACTTTTCGTTTATGAAATGTAATATACATTTTATCTATGTAAATGTTATCTTGCACTGTAAAAATAAAAGTAGAGATATTGAATTAGTGATTTTCTCCATGTATGTATATTTATATATGTGATAGAACGATAACTATTACATTTATTCTCAAATTATACATCTTACTATTATAGCTAGGTACGTTATAAGAATATATTATTTTTGTATATGCAACTAATTTATTTAAAATTAATGTAAGATAACGGAATAATATAAGTTAATGTAGAAACACATAATCAATTTTTTATTTAATAAAGTTTGGAATATTTGTTCTAAATAATTATGTTTAGCATTATTATTTTACAACTAAAATTTCATTGCATGCTCCGTGTTTTTTCTGTAGAAATTAAAATGTTTTGTTAGAATATGAAGAAAATATTTAAGAATTATATATTACATTTTTTTTAAATTCAATCAATCCAAAAATAAAATTATCATTTTATAATATCTTGTTGATTATTTAAAAATATATTTGATGTATTAGCTGTCAAATATTTCGTTAGAACCTATTGAGTATTTAATGTTTTATAGTAATACGCCGCATCATCCACTTTGAAAGAATTTCTGAGATAAACTACCTGCGATGATTGTAATATTGATTACTAATTAGTTATTCATTTTGTATAAAAGCATAATTTATACCTAAAAAAAAATAAAGCTGATCAATTAAAATGAGAAACATAATACAAATTTAAGTAATTTATTTTAAATATTATTGTCTGAACACGTAATATCATGTTTGATAATGTGAACAATTATTTTTATATTATCTGTTATAACAATACGGAAAAGATACATCGAATCAATGCGTATGGTAATTAATCAACTAACAAAATTAAAATAGTTAAAACATTTTTATTGACCAATGATGTTATTGTTCGGCAATATTTTAAGGTTATTTACAAATAGACCTAAGTGTCATAAACTTATAAATATTATACATAGCTGTAGTTCTCAACCGGCGTGTCACGTATTATCGTGGTGAGTGTCGCCAAAATATTATTAATTAGAGCTGTGACCTTTCAAAGTATAAACATATGATATTGTTACAGCATTATGATAATATTATAAAAACTACAGATAAGAAAAATACTTATGAAAATAATCTTATTGATTCTTATCTCATTTATAACCATCAAATGAAATGTTTAAATTTCAATTTTAAGTGTCTCAAAATGATTAATTTTTGATTTTTTTGCAAAACGAATATGTTGGAATGAGTAAAATTTTTCTTTCTTTTCCAACATTAAACATGTGTGTATCAGCAATTTCGGTATTAGAAATAAAAAAAGACATACTCTTAAAGATATTGAAAGTAAATTACACGTAGGTTTGTCAACCATTCGCCCACGAATCGAAGACCTATGTTCAGTACGCCGATCACAAGTACTGCACTAATTTTTTTTATGATCTACTACTGTTTTTATAATACTTTTTTTTATTGATAATACCTGCTATTATACTGTTTAAATTTTAATTAAGTAAATTAATTTTTTTTTTATACAATTCCATCATTTAATTGTATTAATTTACAAAGGTTCATAATTTTTACTATTTCAAAAATCCATTAATTATTCAATTGTATCGCTATTTTTATGGATCTAAATAAGTGTGGTCATACAAAAAAAAAAAAAAACTGAGAACTACTGGCATATAGAATTCTATGTTTTTCAAGAGGTGATGTTGAATCCATGACTACGGATTAGTATACGATGAAATAATGTATATAATATGCAAGGCATTACATTACAGCAACAAGTGTATGCAATGCGATATGGAAAACAAATAATAATAATATTAGAAGAAACGATATTGATTAAAAGTTATTAATGTTTATGTTGAATTCATCAGTGTTCGCGCACTTTGTTTAACATGCTGTAGTCGTGTTGGGTACGTATAAATTATTTGTATACTCGGCTGGAATGTTGAATAAATAAAACAAACGTCAACGCGTTTTCGTCCTATAGACAAGACCGACGTTGAGTACCTACCACCACGTGTAATTGGAATTATCATACGGTTTTTTCCCCCTTTACCATTGTTGATGCTTATGCAATGAATCCCACGAGCTTCTTTTTTTTAGGGAAAAAAAAGCGTTTTCGTTTGTCGAAGCTAGAGAAAAAGGTTGTTCCGAGTATCTCACATATGTATATAAATATTATATGTATTTGCCTACATTGCAGTCCTGCAAATTCCTATACTATCACGCGCACACGCTTCGTCCTGCAATGAAAATACAGTCATATATTGATGATGTGTAAACGTGGCGGTAAAAAAATCAGTTTTACAAAGCATGAAAATGTAATTAAATTTTTATTCTCACATACGTCACATACTAACTTGACCATGTAACATTATTATTATTTTTATTATTATTATTATTATTATTATTAAGAATATCCATTGATCCATGTTTCAGATTTCGACATTGGTGGCGCACAGGGAACGACCGTTCTGTACGGAACGGACGGCCAGGGCGATCGCCAGGGTCGGGCAAGGGGTGAACTTGGCCATCGAGCGGTTCGTGACCGTCGGCGAGACCATTGCGGACGACAATCCAGAGATAAAAGCCGACATGTATCAGGAGTGCAAGGAGGCAAGGGCGGCAGGTGAGTTGCCATGTGCAGGGCTGGTACCGTGCGGGCGGGCACGGGCGGTAGGCACGCATGTCACGCCAATATATAGAACAGAACGCTATACCACCGTGTTCCCCACCTATTCGACCGATACTACCATCTGGTTGTCAAAGTAATTTTTTAGCTCTTGTCATACATACGTAAATGCGTGTATGTGTGTGTGTGTGTGTGTGTGTGTGTGTGTGCGTTAACGTATATATGTATAAAGTTATGTAATATCTCCACGGCATACACACTCTGCGCCCACTGGGGAATATAAAAGTATGCCTCTCGTGTTTCTATATTCCCCATGTAGAACTATGGCCTATGGCTAGGTAGAGGTGACTGAGAAAGGGGCGTAAGGCCATCTTTGTTGTATATTATATTGTGTAATATTCATAATATTCACGTGGCAGTAACAGCGAAACAAGCCTTTTATTTCCGGTCTGATTTCCGGAAGTGGCCCTTTACTTAGAGTGTTATTTTCCGACCCTGCCACGATACGCACCTAAAATCTGATGGCCCGTATTACGTATTTACTATTATTTATTTATTATGGTGGCGTGTCACATATTTAGGGGTAGTTTAATTCCACTTCCATACATTCAACCGATTGTTTTATTATTTTAATTATCGTTGTCATTATTTTTTCTGGCTTTTGGATATATGAATCTCCAGTTTCGAAAGACGTACGGGTAACATAATGTTCCGTCAAAAATAGACTGTCTGAATTTCGTTACCATATCCGTTTAATGATTGAAAATTAATAGGCATGATAAAGTATGATCAACCTTCCCCCCATATTATGATGTTCAATCACAATCTGCTATACTCGCGGAAAAATTTATATGAGAACTCAGGGTCGTAGATCTGAAAAGGCATTCATATACTCCAGGACAGTTGTAATAGTATCAATAGCAACAGGCAACATGTAGAAAATGGTACACCTTAAATCTGATGAGACAAGTGTTCGCGTAGTGTAATCAGAAGTCGCCCGTGGACACTGGAGGATCATCAGACAATCGTTTAAGACTGACTCGCCGCGCAACATTTATGAAAGCACTGAATGCTGTTCATTGATTGCTCAACACTCAATACTGATTACATATTTTCTGCCATGCTGTTGTTATTGCTTTAAATTTGTCTCCTTTTATCAATAAAAACAAGAGAACTGTTTTGATATTTTGATTATTAATAAGTCGTTGTGAGATTTATAACATATAAAATTTTGACGATATAGTAATAAAGTATATTATAATTATTTTAAGTCTTATTGTGTTTGTAATAATTAGTAGTATAAACATAATATAATTAAATAATAAAGTAATAAAAAAAATTAAATAAAAATTAAAAATTGGTAAATGGTTAATATTCGTAGATTAATTTTTAAAGAAGTAAACAAATAATTTGTATCTAGATATAAATAAATAAATGCTTGGCTTGGAGTACCATTATATTTTTAAAGTACGACCAGTTTCGAATTAAAAATGCATCGTCAGTTGGTATAAATGGTCATAAACCGGTCGTACATTACAAGAATAATATTCCAGTCTAGGCATTTATTTCTATATGTAAAAGATTTATTTATTTATATTTTAATATAATTAAAATTAAAATAATATTCATATTACATTAAAATATAGGACATTATATGCACCCTAATCTTTTAAATGTTACGTCCTCTAATATTTTAATATTCTAATAATATTACGTCCAATAAGTTAGAAGTATCATAATCAAGGCTCGGAACTAAAAGCATTTGTATATTTGTCTAGAAAGTGCATATTGAAATTCTGATTCGATACAAATTCGATTCATAGTATGTATGTTTCAGATATAAAAATTTTTGTTGCATAATTTTGCATATTTTGTTACTTTTTGTACCAATTCGCATATTTTGGTGTTAAGAACATTTATATGTATATTTCATGGATTTAACAATATTTTTTAAAAAAATGTAAAGCTTCATAATAAAATATTAAATATATGACAACCAAAATTTTAAGTTTTATATCGTTTGACAAAATAAATTAATTCAAAAAACGGCTATTATTCGTATTGCTCCGGCTCCCAATGCACTTAACAATAATATTATAATCTTTATAGTACCGAGAACTCGTAATTGTGACCACCGCCGGCCCGTATTTATTTTTATGTAAATTTACCACTGTATTAATATTTTGTAACATGACATAAACAAATTATATAACTATAGGTAATTCGTAAACAATGTTTAACCATTAGGTTATCAGCTTATACACAATATTATTGCTGTTCGTTATAATACTGCATACATCTGCATGCAAAGTGACTTCATCGTACAGTGTTCACTAGTCAGTGTAGTCAGCTAATTATTTTCCAATTTTTTACTGCATATTTTGATGTTTTTTAACGCATATTTTAATATTTTTTAGCGCAAAAGTTCTGAGCTTTGGTTATAATACTACATACATCTGCATGCAAGCGACTTCATTGTACAGGGTACACTAGTCAGTAATCAGTCTATTATTTTTAAGCAATTATTTTCCAATTTTCTACTGCGTATTATACCGCATATTTTGGTGTTTTTTAACGCATATATATGCGCATATTTTAGTACTTTTTAGCGCATAAAGTTCCAAGCCTTGATCATAATATATACATTAAGTTTTTTTTTTGCTACCGGAGATAAAAGGAGATTTGAATAATTTTATTAAAGTTGGATTGTGGTATTATGAATATACTTCGGGGGAAAAAAATTAGTGACTATGTTTCATTTCGTATGAAATTAATAGACTATTGATGGAGTGAGAATTTAATGAAAAACCATCCACCTGAAATTACAAAAAAATTGATAATTTATTGCTTACTCTATTTACTTACTTAATCTATTGTGTTTATTAATTTAATAATATTTGGGTCTAATAATACAATGTAATATGCATGTTTAAAAATTACATTATATGTTATTATCATTGATTATGCACATAATTACAACGTATTCGATCAAATTTGTCAATAATTTATCACTCTACAAAAGCCTCTTCAATATTATGGCTGTGCACACGTATTGGCCAACGCTGTTGTACATTGTACTACAGTGAACATATATTCGAATTATAGTTGTTGTGCAGTTAATGTTTTTATTGTATAAGATTTTTTCTTAGGGTTGGCTTGTGCGATTTTTTCGTTTATATATATTTATATTTTTCAACTCTATTCTTCGAGTTTATTCAACGAAATCTTTTCAAATTTAATCAACCACGTTCAGCATTGCCGGGCTGTCATAATAACGTGATTCTAACAATTGCATCCTTTCTTTCTTTATATAATGTTATTTTTGTATATTCAATAATATATAAAAGAAACCAAACGAGGAGTAAGCATATATCTTTATATAATATGGAGTTTTTTATTATTACGCATCTTTTCATTATGTAGTATGTCATTTTGGTTTTAAGTTCACATACATATTAACACTTTTTTAACAAAGAAACATGTATTTTAATATTATTTTGTTATAATGATGTATGAAAGGTTTGCATATTTGTTGTTGGTAATTAAATAGTGAAAAACAATTTTTCAAAATTTATATCAAATTATGTATTAAAGTTACGTAATTAATTGCTAAATTTGTGTCAAGTTATGCGTTTGAGGTTCCATTATTTAAAAGCATAAATCTAAAACCATATAATTATAAGTTACTAATTCTATATATTTTTTCTCTTTAGGTAATATCCAACTATAATATAAAAATAAGATATTTTTCAAAACAAAATTATCAATATAAAATAGATAACGGAAAAACAATATTTTCATTTTTTATTATTTATAACCAATATAATGTTTGATTATAACAGACCATTGCTAAAATATAGTATATAAGTAAATAACAGTTTTATACATTATAAATATATCTATTTTTTGTGGTTCTAATTAATGAGCATTTAGAATTATTCGAAAACTTTTACGAATTATTTTAAATCAAAATGTTAACAATATTTTCTGGTTTACGAGGATAATTTTAATTAATTAATAATTATCTACCTAAAAAAGAAAAATTTAAAACTGAATAATATTTTTAAATTGTGTTTATCCATTGATAAATTCGATATGAAAAAAAAAAAACAAGCTGAATAATAAAATCCTTGTATTTGTGATTTCATAATATAAAACATCGAAAGCTTAGCCTGTTAACCAAAATATTTTTTATTTTACATAATAAATTCATAAATATTTTGTACTCATTAAGTATTTACTGAACAAGACTCTAACTAATTAATGTGAATCGGATTTTAAACACCAAAATATAAAATTTTAACAATATTATTTTTTACTACAGCCGAAAAGATACTTATTGGATAAATAGAGAATGTTTTAATTTGCACATATTCACTATAGTTAAATTTTATAGTGTTATTATAAATATTATTTGCATACAATAAAAAAAAACATTTATTTTGTGTAAACCTATAATTTAAATAATATTGAAACAATTTTTAAACAGTTTCATGTATATGGTATATTGTGTAAACAAATAATCAAATAAATAAATATTTCATAATGACTAAGTAATAATAAAGTTACTGAATACATTCATATTTTGGTCTAAAACGAAAATTGTCGGCACCTTTATTGTACAAAAAATCTTTGAAAGAATCAACTTTAGGTACATCTATTATTTAAGTTACCACCTATTCCGTAACATCCGTTAAATTAGCTTGTTTTTTATTTCAAATCAACATTTCATCGTTCTCATTATAAGAATTTACAAGTATACGTATATCTCATAAATTTTACATTAAAATGTCGACATAGAGCACATTGCAGTGTACGATATACTCAATATTATAAATACCAGTGGAGTACATACTTGTACAGTAAAAATAACCGATATAGCTATGAAAACCGTAAAAATAATTTAATTTTTAATTTTTTTTTTTTTTTTTAACTTAATATTAGTTATCCAATCCATAGATCCAATATAATTTATTTCGCACGACACGATTTCATTGTTCAAACGTTTATAACCGCATATTTTTACAGTTGTGGCGAAACGTTTTTCAGGGATGAATATAAAAACTATTTACGTGCCGCTAAAATAACGCATCGAATCGGTAATAATATTTTATGTCACGATGAAATAAAACAAACTCATAGCTATATATAGAGGACTTGAAAAACGTATTAATTCCAAAATGGCAGTGCACACAACAACAATCATTGTGTTTTCCGTGAACGTGTTGAGTAACACATCTAAAAACATTGTTGCTGAAAGTAATGGCCCATTTATTTCGCTATTATCCAGAATAATCCAATGACAGTAAAACATGACTCTCTAAAATATTGTTTCTGCGTGTCCTCGCGATATTCACTGTAGGACGTGCTTTTTTACCTTTTCAATATGTCATTTCGAATCCCGCCGAATAATAAAATTATCAATAGCTGGGGACATGTATAATTGTTGTCTCATAATTGCACTTCCCTGCCGGGTCACTGGGTGATCAACACAGCGTTCTAACGATTCACTGCTTTTACCATATAACGTATACATTACACATTATATTATGCTTTATAAGCGATTTTTCTCCCGACCGCTTTAGCTATTACGGATTAGTGTAATATATTATCATTGTAGCATTAGCTAATGGAAAATAAATCATTTTCAAATAGCATTAATATTTGCATGATAATTTTACTATTTTATTTATATAAATATATTTTGATAAAATATATACTGGTATTTATATTCCATGAAGCATGTTCGTGTCATAATTTATAACTTAATAATGTATGCTTTAAAAACTTAAAAGATACGCGTTTACAGAAAATACAGAACTAAAAAAATAAATAAATGTCCAAAAGAAAAATATGCTGAACTAAATGTATTTATTAAAATATATATATATATATATATTTAGGATGTTTTTGTTAAACAATGTATTGTAACTGGATCGTTGCGTTAAATATATTTACCATACTATTTAAGGTGCTATAAAAACTTTGATTTTATTGATTTAACAAAAGAATGTCATGTTTTAATATGTCGGATGATAAGTTTTCTTTTTTATGGGTGAACATTCACGCATTTTTATGTTCGAAATTAGTGTTATACTTTAGTAAAAACAACATAGAAATAAATCATTGATATAATCTACTATATTTAATTTAAATTTACACAAAATAAATTGATTTTTTAAATATATACATCTATAGTTTATAAATTTGTATGAAAAATTAAATCGGATAAAATTTTGTGTGAAATTTAGTGAAAACATGTGAAATGTTACAGTTTTCTAAAAGATTTTTTTTGATTTAATTTTTACTAAGTATGAGAGTTATATTCATATTTTTTGTTTTTATTGAAATAAAATATTAGTTTTTATGGTAAAAAATGTGGTTAATTTTCTGTATGTTGTCACAGTTATTTAAAATTTACGTGATACTAGTTACTTAATTTGTTTTCTATAATGCATTTCAGTTCAGTAGAACAACAATAATGTACTTATATTAAGAGTATGTTAAATTATTTGTTTTACATTCATTATTTTGTATGTATATACAGTTTAATACTTCGATGTTTAAATTCAAATGTAATCATTTAAATTTATTATTTTGCTTTGAATGTTTTAAACGACAGCATATATAAAAACGATATTATATTATAATCAAGGCCAGTATGTTAACGGTTAGTATTCCATCACTACATGGGGTTTCCTCATTAAACGTACACACAACGTAAATACGTATTGACATATATAGCTGTATGAAATATTCATGTATATTTGAGTGAAATATATATATATATATATATATATATCTTTGGGAATTTCTGATTTCACGTACACAAAATTGAATTTATAAAGTTCAGAAATACTTGGGATTAGAATTGTGTAATAAAATATGTTCGTGACATTTTTCTGTAATTTCAAATAAATATTTTGGTTATAAGCCTGAAATATGATCAATATAAGTTTATGTATAATCAGAATGGTATACTGAATTAATATAAATTAATTATTAATTCAACAACGTTAAAAATTATTGAAGATATTGAATATAAAAAGTTCTGTGCTGGTATTACTTCGCATTAAATGTATATTACACAAATATATAATGTGTACAATTTTAGTAAACCATTTTTCCTGTTTTTCGTTTAATTCCATAAATTATACTAACATTTTAAAATTAATAGAACAATGTAGTTTACAGAAAATGATTTACATATAATTGGTAGCAAATAAAATTTTGCAAGAAATTGTATTATAAATAATTGAATGGAAGTTACAATGTGATAGAAACATACGTATACCAATTATTTGAGGCAAAGAACTAAAGTTAATATGTTATAATACTCTTGTAAACTATAGTGTTGTAGCTTTCAAAATATATATAAATATACATTTTTAAAAACTTTTTCAAAATTAAAATAAGTTTCAACTTGTAACATAAAGTGTAATAACGCTTAAATTTATTGGTTTTATATATTGTGTAAGTTCCTCAGGTAATAAATCATCGTCATCGTCCGGAAACCAAAGGTTGTTCGTGTTACAATAGTCAGGTTTAAGACGGAAGGGACTATAGCTTTTATTATTATGGTTGTACATACTTATAAATATCGTTTTTATGTCAATTTTTTGTATATCTTAAGATTAAAAGATATAAAATAAATTTTATGTGTTACATTGATAAACACAAAGTAATGTCAAAGTTATGTATTTTGAATTTGATTTTTCGAGTAGAAGTATTTTCTGTTCATTTCATTATTTCACATTAAAAATTGAAATATTATTAATGTACCTAATAGTAATAGTTAACTAAGCACAAATTTCAAACCACACTTTTAAATCTATTGACAATAAAATAATTTTAGAGATATTAAAATAAAATAATTGACTACTTCCGAACATTGTGCGATTGAAAGTAAATTACATTAAATTATTTTATTTCATGCTAAATCCATACATTTTGATCAAACATGAGAAAATATACATTACATGTAATATGCTGATCGCAAACACTGTTTATAACTTATTAAGATAGCATTTACAAAGCTACGTGTTCTATCATAAACAACTAGTGTACACCTATATTTAGATAAATCCCACAAAGTACCTGAAGGGAATCATAATAATAATTTAAATGTGATTTTCATAGGTGCTTCCATCGAAAAACTATGCGAAGCCGTGTTTGAAGATTCAATCAATGATCGAGCGTCAGTGATAAGAGCTGCTCGATGCTTATTGAATTCTGTCACTAGAGTGTTATTGTTAGCCGATGTAGTAGTCGTGAAGCAATTAATTTCAGTTAAAGACAAGGTACGTATATTAAAAACTACCTTTGAGTGTGAATTTATATATATTTGTATGCAAGGTAAATATTATATTTTAATATATATAAATATTATATCTATATAAATATATTTGTGCGCATAACATTTAAGTATTATCCATAAATGACATGAGATAAAATAATTAAAAAAAATTATTTAATGCGTAAACATATAGTAAATCGTTTAATAATTGTATAAGTTTATACGAGTTTATACGTAATAAGACATATACTCGTATAATTTATTTATTATTACAAAAATTATATGAATGAATTATATGAAAGACAACGATTAAGAAACATTAATTATTTGTTTTATTACGTTTTTCTGTGATTGAAACATTTTGTAATGGACAGTACATTTGTATAATGACGCGTACATTATTAATGACCTATTTATGTCGTTAGCTATAGTTCAGAAAAGCTTAGGGGTTTTCGCATCAATTTGGCAACCCGTTGAAGTTGTGAAGAACCGTCAAATATACATTCTGATATTTAAACAATTTTTTCTTTCCATTTCGCATTAAATACATATTATTTCGTGAATAATAAAGCAAAATAGAGAAAAATAAAAATTGATAGCTCAAATAATATTCAATAATAATATTTCGTATACATTGGACAATTAGAATACTTATGTAAAATAAATGAACTTAATATAACAAAATGATTGATTAAATTTAATATTAAATCATTAAATCTAATACCGAAGTATGGTTTTTGAAGAAGATTATTATTATTATTATTATTTTAATCAAATTTAAGTGAATACATAATAAGTATTTCAGTCATAAATTGACTTATAGCATTAAGTAGATTTAATTTTGTATTTGATTATCATGACCTTTCATTTCAGAAACCGTAAAACTAAGTAAACAGTGAGTGCAGTGTATTACGCGTTAACAAAAATACTACTTAGTTTAATAATTTATAAAAGGTAAACGTAAAGGTAGTTATTTAAGCATTTCAATTTGCATTAATCTCAATAGAGATAAAAAATAAGAGTTTTATACCATGATTATGGTAATAAATAATAATTGTATTATCTTTAATGAAATAATATAATATAAATATTTAAATATTTTAGAATGTGGTGGTAGATTTAGATAAATCTAAGTGACATAATTAATTTACATCAATAGGGTAAAGTATCACACGTCACGCCATTGTCATGGTACTAAAGCATCAACTGTATATTATATATTGGATTTGACACATAAATATCACATATTTTGGTATCTTTGAACATTAAATTCTTATTGGACATCATACATCAATAATATTAAATATATAGTTTTATCAGTAGTTCTTAAAAAATAACTATTATGAAGTAACTCAAATAACCTTACCACCGTCCTAAATAAAATCAACCTTTCACAAACAAACCTGCGATATTTTTATGCACAAGTATTACTTTTTATTAAATGTTTAATTAATTCTTATAATACTCTTATAATATTTTATTTATTTTTATAATCTAATCTTAATTATAATTTTCATTTACTATATTAGCTGCAAATTATTATTATCATGTGTAAAATATCGATATTATGTATAATTGTCAAGCGATAATGTAATGTTAGCAAAGACTCATTATAATAAAATAAAACAAAATCGTTTATTCATTTTTTCAACATTTTTAATTTATTAAATTTTAAAGAACATTTAAGAGTTTTGACGAAAAATTGTTTTCAAATTAATTTGACTTGATAACTTTTCCCCAAAATATACAATTAGTTGATGTATACATATTTATTATTCAATCGTAACTGAAATTTATGTTATGTGTAGATGATATGAAACGCTTTACCATTCAGTTTACAGAGGCTCGTAGGAATTTAGTATTCCGAGGTGATTAAAAATTATTTTCTAGTTAAAATAGTCTAATACTTTTTAAAATCTCTTAGCGAAAATTTAAAGCAAAACCTATAGAAATATATTTATTATTTTATTTAGTGTAGCTTTAAAGGAAAAATTGATTAATAACTATACATTTTCCACCGATCCCCTAAAAAACGCGGAGACCATGAACTAACTCTTCTAATTAGTTTTACGGCACTACCTCAAAAGGTTACTACTCCTTAAATTTATGATCAGTAATTTTGCAAAAAAATCGTACAAAATAATGGTAATTTACATTGTTAGATACTGGACGAGTGATTAAGAGCAGTATTGGTAACGTTTAAAGTTCAAGGTAATTTTAAGGGGAGAATGGGGTACATTTATGTGTCGGGTATATACTACTGTTCCATTATAGTGTTACGTTGTTTCTCCCTGCGCCATGAAAATTCGACTCAGATTTTAAACAGTATATATTTCAAAAAAATAATGTAATGAATGCGAGATAAAGTTGTTGGAAATAACTTTATCCTATTCTATTACAGTCCAGAAAATACTAAATTTAATGTTTAATATTTTGATGTGTTATAATTAGCTGTATTTCATAGTACCGGATTATATTTAAAAAAAATGCCCCTATACACATATACGTACTCAATGTTAGGATGAATATATTATTTTGGCTATGATTTAAATGTTATATCATACGTGTTTAATAAAAAGAGTTACCATAATGTATGTCATATACATTATATCAACTATGATGAAATATTTATGTAAGTTTATATTTTAAAAACAACATTCGCGAGGATTATTTATACATTCGTTTGGACAAAATAGTCTATTAAGACCGCTTTTTGTTTCATAGATTTGGAGTATCAATAAAATATGATTTGGATAGTTCATTTATTTTGAAGTAGCATAAATGTGTATTCAGGAACTTATAGATATATATATAAATATTTGTTTATATTGTTGTTGATAGTTAACATATGCAGGGTAGTTGTGTGTAAATCTTTGTTGTGTAATCTTGGACACGCTATTGCGGTCCTAAGTCTTTGTTTAGAATTGAATATACATATTTATATGTATATATATGTACACATATACAGTGTGCTTCACATATGAACCGTATCTTTTCACAGAAATCGATTAATTTCGTGGTAAACACAAAGCGTAAAACCAGCAGTTACCGAAAGTTGAATTGATCAAACTTAAAGTCCTACAAAAATTTCATTTTCACGGATCATTAGGTACGACTCATATCGGAATGAAGTTATTGATTCAGAATAAGTTATGTTTTATTTTATATAATACGCGAGTACCATTTCATATACATATATATATATTTTGATTAAACAGAAAAAAGTTTAACCGCTCTCTAATTCCGTTGTACTCGATTTGTGAAGTGCAATTAAATCAGATCAATGTATATAATAGATGTTCGGGGTGGTTTTTTCCCCCGATTTTTCATCATAATTCATCTAGTTTTGAACGTTAACAATGGTTTTTTTTTTTTTTCGTTCGAAAGTTACATTGTCGAATGGTATCCGTACGCAGTTCCGTCTCGAGAATAGATTTAAAAAACGATCGGCTCGCCGCGGACACAATAAAAGCGAAATGGCGTTCGCTGCGCCCAATGGCACTCGTAGACGCGCGTACGCACACCGTGTGTGAACGTGTACAGCGCGATACGGTTTCATACCGATTACAATAACGGTCGGCCGCGTAATCGTCTCGACTGCAGTCGATCTTCGGTGGATTAACGACGGCGGCGGTGTTTCGAACGCGCGCGGGATTGCGGGTCGCGCCGCGTTGTCCCGGCGATCGCGGCGCTGTCCGTCGGTGGTGCGGGTTCGTGCGCCGCCTACGGGTCACGGCCGAAAACCGGGTGGACAACAGGGACGTATTTAGACTTACTTCTGGGGGGGGGGGAGGCGAGTCAAATTTTTTTCTTCAATTAAGGCTCAAAATTTACACAAGTAACATTTTTGGTAATATTTAAATCAGGTGAATCCTTAATGTTTGTGGTTTTTGTTCGTCTTTTTTAATCTAATACCGGTTAGAACTTAGAATCGACTTTTGTGTAGTTGTTTTTTAACACCCGTTTGCGTTTTGATAGTTACGCTTGTGTTTTAATTGATCTTTCACTAAGTATGGACCCGACAAAAAGCCCAATTCAGTATTCACAGCCACGCATAATTTGATTTCGTTAAAAGATTATCCACATTAAAAAAAATGTGTAATATGTATCTCACATATAATCAATTCCTTAAATACAGATTCTGGGGGGGGATTGCCCTTTCGTCTTCCCCCTAAATTACGCCCATGGTGGACAACCCCGTGACCGGCGTCGGCTGGTTTCGTCCCGGTTGTCGGGTACACGTTTTGTTTGCGATACGTTTAACGACAATAACTATCAGCGGTAATGTTTCCTAATTCGTCGAGAGCAGTCGTGTTCAAATAGTTTTTATTTTTTATTTTAATCAGATTAAAATATCTATTACCATCGTAATCATTTTATTACCCTTATACGTGTAAAACACATGTTTACATGTCATAATATGTTACTATTGTTATACTTGTACTGGTAGTTGGTACATTTTTATTCACGCAACCGTGCATCGTATGAATATACTTGTTTTTCTCTCTCTTATTTTATTTGTTTTTTCACAACTGCTATTTCCAAAAAAAAAAAAATATCTATATATAGGTGCATTTACTTTCTATTCGTTAGTTTTCGAGGTGCTAAAACACTATTATATTATTTTTCAATTTATTCCATAATAATTGCACCAATATTTGTATGATTATTATTGATACTATGTAATTATTATGTTATTGTTTATTTTCAGTATAATACAGCCAGAATAACTATATCGTTTTATTTAGATTTTACTGATCGAGTGTGATTACATTTTTTACCATGATAATTAGTTATAAATTATCATTATAATTGCACACAAAAATATGATTATACTTATTAGATGTATAAAATATTAATAATTCAAATAATTCAAATTCAACTATATCAGCTTTTTCACTCACCAGAGTAAAAATGTTCATGGAAAAGTGTAATACGATAGCTCTTTGTTTGAAATATACTTAAGAGGACGCCACATTCGCATGTGTTGTCTCCGTCTGACACACGTACCTACTATATAGCAAATTTGCGTTCAATAGTTCAAATATAATGATACTCAGTGGCGCACGCAGGGGGGGGCGGGGTTAAGGGTTGTAACCCCCCCCAAATTTTCTCTGATATCTAGGTTAAAATTTACAAATTTTACAAGTTTGAAATATGAAGAGTTAGTATTGAATATCTAGTATCATTGATTATAGAATAGTCTATTCTATTATCAATGCTATTATTTAAGTCAAAATATATTAAAGATTTGCATAATTTTGTTAATTGTAAAATGTGTTATATTTTTACCTTGACCCCCTGAAAAAAAATCATGTGTGCGCCACTGATGATACTAGATTTAAATTTTGATTTATTTGAATAATACTTTTAATAATACTTCAAAGGACATGATCTGTGTTTAGTTGGTTGGTTTTTTTTTTCGGTATTTTAATTTATAAGTGAGTTGTGAGTTTTTTTTAATTATAATATTTTACATAGTCGTAACTCACTTAAAAAATAAAATATCGAAATAAACTGACCAACAAAATATAGATAATATTATTCCCTTAATGTTTGATTATAGGTTAGTTTACTCTAATATTAAAGCTAATATCACTAAATTTGAACTACTGAACTCAAATTTGCTATGTTGTACGTTTGTCAGACGGAAACAATACATCTGGGTGTGGCGTCCTCTTAGACGTTCAGTGTATAATACAATGATAAACACAAAATATGTAGTTATATTTAAAAACAATAATATCAACTAGAATTGAACATAGTTAATTTAATAAAATTATAAAAAAATTTCAATATTCTACAATAAACGACTGATTCAGTTAGTAATACATCAGTAGATGTCTAATTATTTATATTTAATTTTATATTGTATTTATAAAATACGAAGTTTTAATGTTGAAAATTGAGTTAGAAAATATATATTTACGTTTTTGAATCAAATAATAGTGATAATAAATTTAAAAAAATAGCATTGCATAATTACACTATCCTGTGAATTCATTGGTGAATGAATTCACACCATATTGTAAGCCCCAAGTATAATTATATTATTCCATTGTGTTGTTGATTTTTAATATTTATTTCAATTGTGGACAATGGTTATTTTTTTCATAATAGAAACACACACGTGGAAATAAATTTAAAATACTGTTTTTTTTATCACGGGTATAAAATTAATTTCGGATAACGCCAGAAATGTATTAATTATAAAATGGTATATTTGTGCGCCTACATTGTTTTCGCCAATAAAAATACATCAGGAGCGTAATTCATCAATAGATAATAATGATAATAAAAGTCAGAAACGTAATTTATTTTGATTTTCTTAATTTTTTAAGTGTAAAAATGTTGAATATTAAACTGTGAAAATGTTGAGTTTTGTTTTTAATATTATTAATTTTAGTAAAATACGAAATATTATGTATTTATAAAGGTTTATGTTTATTACAATCTTACTATATTATTGAATATTTCATTGTACCCTGAAAAATAATTTTTTACGATAAATTAATATTTGTTTTTAATAAACCTAGTTCATTTTCGACCGCAGTGCAAAATTGCCATTGTTTTTAAATTTTAAAACACCCATCGACCAGCACTATGGTCCAACTAACTTTTTTATCACCAAAAATATTTTTAGTTTTATACTTCTGCAGAACATGGTTTCATGATTTCGCGTCATCAGCATAATATTATGTGCTCGTAAAAATAATTTTACATATCAACTTTAGACACTGCATCTGATATAAGAATATAACTAAATATTTTAATGTCTATTTATAGTCGATATTGCACAGTGATATATCGACAATTACGTGAACTAGAACATATTTTATCGAAATAATAATTTGACGACTTCTGTTCACTCATATTTTAACACAACCGCTATAGTATTATGTTTTAATCTTGATTTCAGGTGTCACGAAGTCTGGGCCGCCTTGAAGGTGTCAACAACTTTACGGAGTTCGTCAAAGCCTTCAGTCATTTTGGCACCGAAATGGTAGAGCTGGCGCACCTGACGGGCGAACGGCAAAATGACCTGAAAGACGAACGGCGGCGGTCTCAGATTGCCGCGGCCCGGCAGGTACTCGAGCGGTCCACTATGTTGTTGTTAACTTCGTCTAAGGTAAGGGTTGTCGTGATGCTAGAACGTCGCGAGAATTGCACATTGTAATAAATCGTAATAATTATTTTTACATATTCTGTCGGCTGTGATGTCGTTTGAACATTGAATTATCGAGTTGTAATACTGCTGCGAATTAATGACATACTACATCATTATAATGGAATCACGAGAGCATGTATGGAGCACAAACGGTGTTGTACCTGTTCTATTCAAATTTCATTATCAATAATCATCCGTAGTACGAAAAATGATCAATTTTCGAAATGCCATTTAATATACCGTATTGTTCGGTTGATGTTGACAGCACAAAATATATCATGATTCTCGAATACCCATTTGATCATAATAGAATGTACGATGTGCATGATCAGTGTTCAAACCGAGTGGGACAGAGTTTGGATTTCGTTTATTTCACAAGTCAAATCATGACATCTAATTGAATTTAATTCTAAACGTTTTGGTGTAATAATTTAAAATTTAGTATAATTTTTCGCTACAACGAAATAACGATAATTATTACATTCAAATGAAGTTAAAAAGTGATCAAACTGTTCGGTATATTTTCGTTTGATGGTACGACTACTATAGTAAAATACTTGATGAGCATTACCATTATTATATTCATGAATAATTTTCGACATCGTAAGAAGTAATAATATTTTTATACCATTTGCGATTGCGGATTCCAAAATCGTAGCCAAATAATAGAAGTTTAAAATTACAATCACATTTATAGAGCATACATAATCGCAAATGAATCGCTGTGACTTGGACTTAGATATGTGATGTGTAAATGTGTACTAAACTTCAGATTATTTATTAGATATTTTTTATGTACAAAAAATGAATTATCGCGTATTAAAAGGGGAACGATGGAGGATAAAGTGTCCTATGTGTTGATCGTACATTTTATGGGCTACGGAACGTTGATATTCTACCCGTATAAACTACAACAGCCCGCAGTTCCCATCTTTGGCATTACTATCGTTCTTCCAATTATAGCACCGAGAGTGAAGTGTCCCACAATAACGATAAAACATTTTCCGGTATATGATATTGTTTAGAATTAGAACGGTCAATCCTGTTTCATTCATGATATTATCGATGAACTTGACTTGGCAGCGTGTTCGATTAACACAGTGTTATGGTGTTCGGTAAAATATTAGTACGCAAATAATGAACAGTATATATACTGTTATATGTACTATATAGATCGTCAACAAGTGAAGTTACTGTTTGAAACGCGAAGGTGAATAGCATGTAATCAAACATTCGTTGATAGTCCAACGAAAGTGTAAAAACGATATAAACCTCACCGGTCTAGAATTTAACGGTCGCTGTGGTCTTAATATAAACACACGAGTGTAAAAAATTTACTAGCAGATTACAGCATTCGGCATGTATTTTAAATCGGAAAAAGGTATCGGACAAACATGATTTGCTTTGTCCAAGTTAAAATGTAACCAAAATACTTCTAGAGTTTTTAGTTAACATAAACTATTTGATTAGGGAAATATAAACTATCTCTACGATTTGTTAGCAATATAGTAATACACGCGTTATCGTGAACAAGATCACAGTAAATATTACAATAACTGTTGTAAATTGTTCAAATTTCTTTAAGACGTAAGCATCGTCGTGCTTGCACTGTTCGATGCTCTGCAGATTTGACAGCCGAAAATTTGTAATTTATATCTTAATCAATTATATCGTATGCTTGCTATACTCACTTATCATGCTGTTTAAAGAGGGCTGTCCATCATACCGAGTTTCTATACACTTATTCATTTTATTCAGAAATGTATATCCGTAAAGCTATCGAGGATTATTCACGACTCGATCCTTTTTTTCTCGGAGACCAAAACGATATGTTTTCAAAAAATTTATAATCGACGATCTGCAGTATACCTCTATATTTATGCGCGCGCATTACGCTTTAATAATAATCATAGGCGTAACTAGGGAGTAGCATGAGGGACTAAGCCACCTTGTCATAAAATTCACCAACAGTAGTTACATTTTCAAATTTAAATTTAAACAATCGTTATATTTTTATTAACAACATAATGGAATTTATTTTTATTTCTCTTTACTATTGGCAATTATATTATTGTATGTGATGTACTATGTAATGTGTAAAATATCATGCCTTGGAAATACTAATAAAATAAATGTAAAAACAGAGTCCCTTACTTAATTTCCTATCACTATAAAAATGTTAGTCCTGGAGCATCCCTAACTTTAAGATATATTTACACCTATGATTTTAATATATGCATTATACGCTCATATAATTTTAAATTACGGACACACGGTAACCCATGACGATGTTGAGAGTCTGTGCCATGACGAAGACGAGAGAAATAGTGCGTTTTCATCAGTGCATTTCGTTCTAGCCAATGGTGTTTTATCAATCTGCAATCATAAAACTCTATAGCAATTTTTATTACGATAACTTGAAAACGTATTGATAAGTTAATGTGATTTATACAAGTAATATAACGTTTTTATTGGCAATCCAAAATTTTTATCGTTTGTAATCCCCAACAACGATTATCGTGATGATATTTACAAAAACATCTTATTAGTTATTTTAGGTATTGGCGACCGTAGTAAGATCGTTGGTAGTTCCCAGTTTGAGAATCGCTGCTCTATAATGTCGAGATCTTTCGCTAGTATCGCATTGGCTCGAATGGCCTGTCCGTTCTCTGTTAATACCCGCAAGGGGTTATTCGCAGCACCGAAGACGTTGCGCTATCGTTTCATGCATGCGTGTGTATAAATGTTACAGGCGTGTCTGAGGCACCCGGACAGCTCGGAGGCCAGCCAAAACCGAGACACGGTATTCTGCCAGATGCGCAGGGCCATGGACCTGATCCATTACGTGGTCAAAGATGGCGTGAAGGAGAGCGACGGCGAGACCATGGCCCTGACACCGTACGTATCGGAACAAGACGGTGGCGACACACTTGGCCATGCGCTCAACGCTCTGGACTCGTTTGTCGACATGACGAGGTACCGTAAATTATTATAATATTATGTTTTAAAGATATAAATAACGCGTACGCTATTACATATATATATATATATATATATATGTGTGTGACGAAGTGTCCACCCGATAGGGTTTACTGCACCGATAGCCAAGTTATTCCTCGCTGCTGTCGGTTTGGACATTAGAATTTTCGACTAATCCAATCTGCTAACCGTGGTGTACAAACGGGGTCATTTTCTACGTACACACGGTATTATTTTGACCGTCTATAAACAATTCCGTTCGTTTTCTATTGTTATAGTTAAACGAAAACGAATTATTTATGAAAGTTTCAGAATTTCGAGTTATCGCGATGGAGACAGACATTTTCGGCTACGTTTTGTCGGTTAATTTCTTATATATTCCTCTGGCCGACATTACGGTCTGTGCGAAAGCAATAATAATTATTTACCAACAAAAAAAAAAAAAAAAAAAACGTTTTTTAAAAGAACAAAAACAAAAAACATATATTTACTGTGTTCAACTAAAGTAAAGTTCATACAATAAACGTCAAGTAGTTGTTAAAGTTTACACAAGTTTTCGTACTTTTGACTTTTTGTATATTATGTTAGGCATTGAAATAACGAATTGTCTATACATTTAATTCAAAATTGTAATACTTAAACTAATCGATATTGTTTGGCTCATTACATAACATTTAAATATTTAACTTATGATTCAACTACAACTATTATAGTTAATAAATTCTTAATCGGAGTGATTTCTTTCACTGGATATTGTTTATTTTACTTGAATTAGCGATAAGCATAAGACATGTCATATAGTATGACCTGTATGTGTGCCAGACTTCTAACGAAATCGATATTAAATACGAATAGTTTACCAATATACAGTACTATTTATAATCAACGATATTATGTATATTTTGCATTGGATCGAATAATAGACGAACTAATGTTAATTTCGCCACAATGATGATTGACACTTCAAATCATAAACATTTAAAACTCGTACCTATACTTATTCAGTATTTTGATACTAATGTAGGTGTACAAATAAAAGTTCTCGAATTTACAAATTTGAAAAGAGAAACCTCAAATATATTATCGTTTTTTATAATAGAAGTTTTAACATAATATTTAAATTATATAAATTATCTAATAAAATTATTGCATTTTCTAGAGATAATTGTAATACTAATTTTGGAGGTGCTGCAAGGAAAGGAACCAAAAATGTTTTTACGATTTTAAATAATAATTTAAAACTAATATTTGTGGAATGGGTTATGCAGCTCATATCCTTTATAACGCTATACGAACAAGTATAAATATATTACTATACACTATGTGGAAAAATAAAAAAAATATATATAGCTGCTATACCTATACATATTACAAATCTTATTTCTGAACATGTTTCTACTAAAATAATTTTAAAAATAAAAAAAGAAATTGTAAATAATAATTATAATGGATGAAATAAAAAATTAAAACGTGTTTTATAACAATATTTTTGTTTGATTAACATAATACCATATATTAACATAATACGAAATATTCATACTATTCGTTTAGCTTAAGAAAATTTGTTATGTCTTGTAACTTGTTTTTGTTATGTAGAGACTTAAGGCCAAACATTGTATTATTGATATTTAATTGTTTTGTTCTACCGCAGATGTTCGTATAATAGAGTGTTAAGTTAAAATATAATTGGAAACAGGATCATTGTCTCGATAAAACAATAATATTTTCCTTGGCTTTTTTTGTTGACCCAAAAATAAATTAGGTAACGTACAACCACGTGTATTAACTGAAATAATTATTTTACTTTTACTACTACAATTAGGTAGTAACATTTTTGGTGATCCTAATTTCAAAATTTCTTATCCACTAATTTCGCTTGACATCAAGGGATAATTTAATATGGCGACTAAGTTATCGCTCTATTCGGGATAGCAGATAAAACTACACCACACTGCGGTACACGCGACTAATTTTCACTTTTATTCCTGACTTCTATTTAATAGTACCGTACAACACGACAGTAATGTATTTGTAAAATACTATTACACAGTGTACCCGCGTAGTAAGCATATTCAGTCGAAATTGTTTATGTTATTGTTATTATTATTATTATTGTTATTATTATTTTACTATTACTATTACTAATTTTTTTATACATATAAATATATTTATACGCATCATCGCGGAGCGGGAGACCGTTCCAATACGATTTTCAACTCATTTGTCTTTTACAAGCCATGATGCTTTTAACGCATCTTCAAGCCGGGAAAACTTGTATTTTTCTTTTTTTTATGTAAATATCTACGGCTCGTACAAAAGAGAAACTGTAAAAATAATCGTTTCGAGGTGTCATGTATATTATTGAATAAAGGCTCATTAAAATACGATTTGTCCATCCTCCCCTCCGCTACGAATGTCTCACCCGTGCAACTATTTCGCTGCAGTAGTTAACAGTTACGCACCCCTGTCCGCAGGCTGACACTCGTCTTGAGCGAAAAAGAAACCCTTCTGCGCACCATGGACGTCATTATGGAACGCACGCAGGACTTCACGGATAGCGCGTATACTAGGCACGAGCATCGTGAAAATATACTGACGCTGTGCGACCGTGTTAAAACCCACCTGGATCAGTTAATCAGAGCCGGAGCTAGACTGGTAAGTTGTTGAATATAGTCATATGTTTGAACCTGTGGCATAAAAATAATCAGTAAACTTCAATTCTTCGTAAATACAATTTTAGAAAAATTGTTGCTGTCGTAATTATTATTATTTAAGAGCTTACTCGGTGCGTAAAGTATTGTAGCTCAAGCATAAGGTAAATTCGATACGATAAATTCGATTTCTAGATGCAATCATTATACATACATGTGTAGTAGATATATTTGATCAACTTCAAGTTATAATTTTATTTTAAAATTTTATAATTCTAAAACAAATGCAAAAATTGAGATATGGAATACATGTTTTAGAACATAACTGATAGAAAAGTTCTTGTTTTGTGTTACCTATGAGTTGGATTGTTTGTACAATATTCTCCTCTTGATATTTTTATAACCTGAAATTAGCATAGAACTTAATTTTTAGAATTGGGAACTACTCGTATAATAGCTAATATTATAATTATATTACTGTATTATATTATATTATTAGTTATATATTATTATTAGCAAATAATCTGTTACACAATTGGGTGTAACTAAAAAAGTTTTGCTTAAGTAAGTTTAATTTTTATTTAACAAAATAAAAGCAGTACCTACAAAAACAATAAAGAATAAAACCGAATATATAGTAGGTATCTCAAATAGACAATGAGAACACGCTAACCAACACTTTTCAAATTATTTTGGGCGTCACGTCAACACGAAATGTATACTTCATGTAAATGTAAATAACTTTCCACGTGATTTAAACTTCTGTATAGAATACTTAATAATATGAACTAGAACAACGAGTAAGACACTCTGCAATACACCCAAACAAAATAAATTAATTCTTGAGTTGAAGTAAGAATTTAGTATATAGTTATATTAAATTAGAGAAGAGACAATTATTTTTAATAATAGACGAACATCTAAATTATAAGTTAGATTAATTTTGACAAACGAAAAGAGAACAAACTTTTGAAACTGGAAGTTATATAACATCATAGTTAACAGCATAAAATATTTAAAACATTAGTTTTGGAAAAGCTATTTAAATTTTAATTTGAATGATTTATATTTTGAACTTCTGACAAATTTAGTATGTAAAATCAATTCTAAACGTGCACACACAAATATATACGCAAGGACTATTTAACGTGATATAATAATATTTGAGTAGTTGCAATTTTTATGTAGTTTGATACTACATTGTAATGAAATTGCTTCTAAATATTTGTACAATATAAATGCTTTTCCATATAAATATATAAACTAATTTAAATTTAAATTTTTATTATGTGCAGGGCTTGCATTTGAAAAATAAATTTAGATTTTCGTTATTTATAATTATAACGTTATACATTTTTTGATGTTTTGATATTTTGATGAAAAAATTATAATAACAAAATTTCTTTTACATTTGAAAAAATAAACTGTATAGAAAAATATATTCTTCTTTATGAAATAATTTTAAATGACTTTCTAAATTCCCTGCATGTTTTAGTTTTACATGATTTCATTTCCCAATTTCAATCGTTTTTTTTTTTTTTTTTTAATTATAACGTTATAATCATAACGTAATAATAACGTTTGTAAACTCTGATAATATGATAAAAAATACAATTAATTTTTCTAAAATTAATAGTATAATAAAATTATATGCTTAAGTACAGTATATTAAGTATATATTATTATTATTATTATTATTATTATGCATTTATAATTCTTTACACATATCTATTTTGTCAAATTTATTTGAATTTAAATTACACAATTTGTATAATTTATTAATATGAATGCATAATTACCATTACTATTGTTACTATTTAGTTAAAATTGATTTTTTCATAAATCTAATTATAATAAAAGTTTTACATTTTAATTCAGGATTAAAAAGTTAAGTTAATACCTTTAAAGTATCACTATATAAAATATTTTAATAATATAATAGTTTTACAAATCGGTTTTCTCTTGTACTTGTATAATAAAATAATATCCGTTATTCATTCAAGTAGTTTGAAGTTTTTAAAAAGTTCTTTCTAAGGGAAAAGTTTACTGACTTTTTAAATGAATACGTTGGTTGCTCATAAAGTTTTGGATCAGATAGTATACACTCTGGGAACTACATACATCATAAAGTAGCAAAATACTATACTGTATATCTTCATTATCTAGTTGTAGTATAAAAATATATCATTAGTTTTGTTTGAAATAAAAGTTAAATTTTTTAAACTTCTGATAGTTTCTGATAGTTCTGTAATTCTGTAATTCTATACAAATTTTAAATAAATGTACTTTTAATCGTAAATATGAATGTTGTACTGAGGAAAGATATGACTTTTTAATTATTACATGAACCACTCATAATATATTATGTTGTTATACGTCAGTAATTTTACTATATACTATATCTTAGGAACTCCTAGAAATTATATATATTTCAAGTAGATTTGAGATTTTTTAAATAGTAGTTTTAATAATTTAAGTTAATGAAATGTGGTTTACAACAGTTGTTTGAAACAGAAAGAAAACATAATTTTGGACGATTGATCCTATCTATTATACTATCTACAAGTTTTTATTTTAATTTTCTAAAATAGTTTATTACTTAAAATATTTTTAAATGAAAATTCAAATTAATAGTAGTTAATAGTTAATAGTTTCAAGTATGTAGCTACTAGCTACTATATTATATTTAATATACTTAAATCCCACGTATAATATTATAAATAAACCCATACTAATTATTTAAAAAATTTTTTAAATTAATTATAATAATTTTTATTTCTTTTAAAATTCGATTAAAGCATGCTTTAAATATGTTTAAAACAGTTGAAAAAAATCGTTTTTGAACATATAAAACATGTTTTTAAAAGATTAAAAAAGAAACAGGATTTTATTAACTCTGATTTCAAGAGATAATACCTATTATAGTTTAATAAAATTAATGAATATTCGTTATTTTGTATTTTAAAAATATAAACACATTATTCTTAAATATGAGCCTTTAAGTTAGACCATACATCACCATAACATGTGTAATTTTGATGCTTTTTAGTTTCATATATTTTTATTTTTTATATAATTTATGAATAATAATGGTTTTGATAAAGTATTATAAGATCATATTCATAATCTACAATATGTATTTCAAGCCTACGATTTGTAAATTATTATTTTTATTTAAACGAAAGAAAATGTCTTCATTATTGTTATTATTATAATTTTAATTCTTATTAACTTTGCTCTCGGACCATTTAAAATGTTTAGTACCAAAACTAATTCCTTCAAAATATATTCCTGTTATACACTACATCCCAGTCCACTTATTTTTCGGAGAACATTTCCAGAATAATGACCAATACCAATTATATTGGAGTTTTCACTCTGTCTTCGAGTTATTACTGTTTTCACTGTACTGATACTTGTTCATTCGTTATATTTGCTCTGTCCATTTGAGAATAATAATAGTATTACATTTTCTCTACATTTATTCATTAGGTTATAATCGAGTGATTCAATTTTCGCAAATACAATTTAATTTAATTAATGTTTGTTTAGTATACGCATATCAAATTTAGCTTTATAATAGAGCATTTTATGTATTTTTTTTATGATTTGGTTGTATTACCTACTTAGTCTTTAAAGACATTAGAAGAAAATTAACATTTTTTTTATTTCTAAATAGAAAGTCAATACTAGAATAAAAAAACTGAATACAATGAATTTTAGAAAAAATTCTGTTTAAATTTCATAACTGGTAAACAAAAATCTTAAGTATAAAATGTTATCTCACATTCAAAATACAAAAATAAATTTGTAACGGTATTGTAACATGGTTTAGAATATTAAAAAATAAATGAATAAAAATAAAAATACGAGTGCAAACATACATGAATTTTATATTTTAATAGAAAAAATTATACTGTACAACCTTTGTGTAGTAAGTAATTGGTGTTTATACTTTTTTTCTTTTTCTTTTTAATATTTCTTTGTACAGCAAATGTCATTAAACTTAGAACGGTATTAAAAATGCTAGCACGTATTGAATACGAAAAGTCAAACATTGCAAACAACTTCCACACCCTCTCACCGTTGAAAAAAAAAATAAACTATGAAAATGTTTTATGTGTCGCGTTTGGTTTTGACGGTTTATTAAACGTAGTCCTACATAAGTTTATTTTACATTTTTATTTTGTGTTATAAGACTAAATTTATGAACCGTTTAAGAATATTCCTCTAAGGGTTTTAACTAACAGGCAAACGAAATACATCATGATATTTGAATATTTAAAATAAGATCATCAAAATGTATTCCATTAAACACCAACATTAGTTTTACTCTTATTTTTAGTATTATTTCACTTTTTTACAGAAAATAATAATTACTACACTATGTATACGTTTCTGTTGTGACCGATTCTAATTCATGTTCGACTCGCACATCTGAAGAATTGTAACTGCATGCATTGGTTTCAAATTATTATGGATCTATGGGGTGGTGTATAAGATGTTAACCGTGGTTTTAACGTGGACAGAGGGTGATGTATACAAACTAAAAGGTCGAGAGTAATTTTAGTACGCATAGTAAAAATATTTATTCATTACAAGAGGGGCAACAAGTATTAGTACTAGGTATGCCTATTGTAGGTATACGTTTATTGGCACAAAGCCGTGATATCGACGTTTGTTTAAAGGCAAGACAGTGATGACGATAGTAATAATAATAAATCACTTTTGGTCGTTAAACGTTTTAAATGATTAAAACATTTATTCTCCATTCATTAATCAAAACAAAAAATAATAATAAAACCCACAGCGAATCGTGTCCAATGTTAGCTGGATAATAAATCAATAATATATTAAAATTATATATATATATATTTATATAATGTGCGTATACACTGTGTATACATCAATATGCAAAACTCGGTCAGATAAACAATAATATTAAAAACAAAATAAAAAACATAACGATTTAACCGGATAAGATATGTACTGTAAATACATGTATATACTCGTATTCTACAGTATTATAAATAATATTATTCATATGTATGCATGAAGATATTAGTTTCTTTTTTTTTACATACCATTAAATTTATCTCTTTTTAAAACGCAATACATAGTCCAAGTTGGCATTTATATAAAATATTTTTATTGCTGTTGAGTATTTTATACTTTTAAAACTAATATATGTTTTTTCTATCATTGTCGTCACTAACAATTTATTAAAAACCCTTGCCATTAATTAGGTAATTATTATATTAACTGATTTAGTTATTGTGCAATAACGTTATAACAACAAATAATAAAAGCATTGATTATTTATTAAAAATATTATCATTTATTGAATCCTTACGTTTGTCTTGTTTATACAATAAAAAAATCTATACCTATAACGAAGGGTTTTTAAATCCAATTATTTACTATAGATATAAAATAAGGAAATTAACTTACCCTTTCTTTTAAATATTCAAGTAGTAATAGTTGAAAGTTATATTATTATTTTATTGTAGTTTTAATTTAAAAATTATTAGAAATAGTTAAATGAAAAAAGAAATAAACATTAGTGAGAGCATAATGTTCCTTAAATAAAAAAGTTTCTTGTTTTATTTAATTTTTTTACCACAAAGAAAAATATGTAGGTGATTCCGGTATTAAGCATACTGCCATGTAGATGATCGATGGTAGCCTAAATTTGTATTTTTACGGATCATTATACCGATTATAATAATATGATGTATAAATTACATAATATTAATTGTATTATAAATAATAAATTTTAATTAAAAGTAATATTTTGTTTGCCTAAAAGTAATTTAAAATCGTAATCAATTCTATTACAATGAAACGAAATTATTTCTCATTAAAATATTCGTATAATTGTTCTGATTATTCGTACGTGAATAGTTTCAACGAATAAAACAAAACGTATGAAAATATTTTTTGATACATAATATTATTCGTTTTAAGTTGTATAATATGAACTTTCGTGTTTGATGGTAAATTTCTGGAGGGAAAATGTAAATACACTGGATTTATGAAATTAAATTAAAATTAAATGAACTAGTGAATAATTTAATTTTTAAAACGCCTCGAGTGTACTTTATTATGACTACTGCAATAGCAATAAAAATAAAAAAATAAAAAAACTTTATCATTGCATTTTATAGTATTATTAAAAACCCGGCCCAGTTATAAACTCGTACGCTATTCAAGTTATGTTGTTCAATGTATCGTGTAATTCCGTAAACAGCTAAACGAATTATGTACACACACGCCAGTTATGTTTCAAAGAAACCTTTGTAATTCATTAGATTTTATTTTGATGCATGATTGGACGAAAATCGTATCATAAAGAATAAATAATTAGATCAAATCCATATATGTTTCAAATCTATGGCATTATACTAATTTTAATTGCATTTTGAAACTGTTAATCAATAATACTTATATAAATATCGTAATTCTGCAACAAGTGAAGATATCCGTATATTGTATTATATTTTTTTTTCTATATGTGATAGACAAATAATATTTATTTATTTTTTTTTTTTTTAATATTTACTAGTATAATTTGACATTTTTTTTATGTCCAGGAACAGTGTGACGAATATTCACCTACGAAATCCCTGGAAGTTGCTGTCAACCAATGTCTAGATGCTACTAAAGAACTTCGAGTTCAGTTGATAGCCACTTGCAAAGAACAATCGCATGACCTACCTTTAATAATTCGGACAGGATACGACCTCGTAACGTTCATACAGACCACGGCTTCCGACGGAGACATCGACAGTCTTAACAAGTATGGTGATCAATTCGTTGAGGTCATCGACCAAATTGGAGAAGTACGTGTTGATTGACTAAAAGAGGAATAAAAAAAAAAAAAAAAAACTTAATAAAATATATTATCTTTACTAGATTTGTAAGGTATTAAGGCACATAGCGACTACAGAAGCACTTCAGGTTTCTGCGAAACATGCTGAAGTCAATTTACGAGTGTACGCGCCTCAAATCGTTACTGCGGCTCAAGCATTAGCTCACTATCCTTGTTCGAAAATCATAAAAGAAAATCTAGAAGGTAGGTTCCCGTCGGCAGAGCGTTTAAAGTCCTTCCGAGAGAATTTCGGCCGCAAAATGTGTTGTGCACAACACTTATTATAATAATAATAACAATATATTGTATACGTGTTTTGTTGTAGTATTCGCTGATATGTGGCAAGCGTTAACTCAAGATGTGTCTACAGTTTGCAAAGAAATCATGGAAAAACAACTACCGGAAAAACAAACGTACATGTCGCTCCCCAGGCCTGGCGTAAGTATATCACAGCGGAAACGAGTTTTTCCTCTTTTCGATCGACTAAACATATATATAGCGTTATTGGATTGTTTCTTTTTGATAACGCAACGTCGTTAAACTTTTGTTGCAGAAACACGGTACGACGACGAAACCGCTGAAGTCCGTCCGACTGGACTTATCGGTAAATAACACGCAGCAGGGTCTCTGATTAGGACGATTTCGTTGATCTGGTGTTTTTCTCGTTCTCCAGGAACAGGATCAGATCGCCAAAGCCGGTTTGGAAATGAAACTGGCGTCCAGCGAAGTAGAAGCCGAGGCGGACCGGTGGGGTGGCGCGGGGGAGGAGGACGACGCGACCAACGAGGAAGGCGCCAGCGTGGACGAACGAGGTAACGTGGCCAAAGCGCACGAAGACAACGATATCGTGCGCAGGGCGAAGAACATGTCCGGCATGGCGCTGAGCATGTACGAGTTCACCAAAGGCGACGGCGGGTCGTCGCTGAGGACCACGCAGGATCTGTTCACGCAAGCCGAGTACTTGGCCGAGGAGGCGAACAGGCTGTACAAGCTGGTCCGACAATTCTCGTACCAGGTCAGTGGTCTGGTCGAAACGTCGAAAGACGCAATGTCAACGACACCCGCTTCCCGTTCACCACGAATTTCGTTCGGGTCTCGAACGAATCTTTACTCCGATCTTTACCGGTGCACCGCTTCCGATCCCCGTCCCGTTTCGATCCATCTCGCGCGACTTCGTAAACCGTCACGATTCTCCGAGGTGTTCGACTCAACTGTGAGATCTTTTCGCACTGAATCCTACCAACTGCGTTAAATACATAGTCGTTACGCACGATAAATGTTCAGATAAAATATAACATTGTTTGACTCATTTTTTTTTTTATAAAACGGCGTAGATCAGTGGTTTTCAACCTGGAGGTGGCCGCCAAAAATAAGGAACGAAATTATTTTTCCACGTTATTAAAAATAAAATATAATAAAGTTAATTATTTGTTTTGTTAAATTGTGTAAACTCATAGAAATCATATGCCGTGTAAATATTTTATCTGTAATTGAATCAAATGTTGATGAATAAAATAACTTTTTTTTTTCGAAGTGGGTTGCATTACAAAAAAAAAAAAAAAAATGAGGGGTCGCGAAACGAATAAGGTTAAAAACCATCGGTGTAGATCAAACTGGTTTGTACTCAAAGGGTTTTCTTCGAGCGTTTGCTGCCAACAACATATAAAATTGTATTGCACTGGTGCGGGACCACTCGTTGATAATTTTGAAAATCGATTTTGACCAATTATTTTACAATTTTGTTTCGCTCTTTAATTACCAATGTAAAACGCTTTAAAATCGTCCACCTCGACTTGGAAAACAATAAAACACTTCAACAGTGTCGTAACATTATTTATATTTATCTACAGATTATACGACTGTCAATGCTAAATGATTACATTTTGTAAAAATACAATTATCATGTTTACCTCCGATTTTTCTGCTCGTTGATTGTTTTTTGTAAAATATGTCTATACGCATAAATACAATGTTATACTAATGACTACAGCATTTGAGATTTAAAAACCCGTACATTACTATTGGTGTATAATACTTACCTATGTATAATTCATACGTATTCATCCGCAATAAATATCAATATAATTTATTGGTTCATTATTTGTTCTCGGCAACAGAAATTCAACATGCAAGACATGCCCATGGCACAAACACGTGCATGTAAATTAAGTTGTAATAGGTTACTAACGAATATATATCGTACTAAATTCATGAGTCTTAAAATAAAAATAATGTATGGTCTTAACACTTATTTGCCGTGTGGTTATTAATTAGTCCTTGTTTAAAGTAAAAAAAGCCTATTTTATTTTTCCGTCCAATCTCCAGAATCTTTGACAAGTTCAAATTTTTAATTTTCAAATTAAACGTTTTGATTTCAGGTGCCTATGGGTGCAAACAAAAAAGAACTACTGGAACAGTTGGATCAAGTCCCAACGTACGTGCAACAATTGCAGTTTACAGTAAAAATGCCTACTGTGGGTAAATCCGCTACTTTTTCAAAAGTCGACAGTGTTATTAACGAAACTAAAACGTTAATGAATGTTATATCAAAAGTAGTTACAACTTGTTTCGTCTGTGCTACCAAAGTAAGTCTACATACAAATAAGATATTTTTCTGGATCGTACGCTATCATTTTCTTTTTAAATATGTTATTACATTACTTGTTTACGTTAATTTTATATATCCATTGGTTTCGTAAACAACCGAAGACGATTAGAAAAAATTACCCACCTAATAGCAATAAAATATTTCTAAAAACTCAAATCTAAAATTGATGTGTATACTAGTAAATCGAGTTGGTTTAAAATAATATCTCGTGTTATTTTAAAAATATTCTGGAATGGTTTTCTATTTCTGATTGAATATATTATACAAAAGAAAGAAGAATACAGATAAAAAGGTTAAGAACCTATTGATTATAATTTCCAATGTTTGAATACAGAACATTAATCTATTTATTCGTTTGACAAATCACTCTGATTTTTACATAAAAAATGAAAATACCATTCAAATTATTTATTTAAAATTTTTTTTTTCATTCGTAAACGAGTAGAGCTTAATTTATTTCAATGTTATTAATACGCTTATATCAATAATTTGAATTTTTGAATTGCTCATTTGTGTTAATGGTTGGCGATTTATAAATACTTTGCTACAATCTTACTCAGCTCATCATCATCAATAATGAACTCGATTAATTTTATTTGAAATTCCATCTGCACTTTATATTATCATGTTTCTTAAAATAACACTATTTATAATGACTTTGAACAACCATGTGATTTTTTTTTTTTGTAAATATATATACAATTGTGTTTAAACCCTCTTCGAATAACATGATTCATGAATTCCCCGAACAAAAAACTTGAATTAATTGTTCGGGTGCAAATCCTTAGTGCAAACTTTGTCGTTGGGTGTTATCCTTTTTCGAGTAATTTACCTTTTTAAATGTTCTCGAATTAAATGACACGTACAGTGTTCACTTTTGATTTATAACAGTTTTTTGTTTTTTTTTCTTGCATTTTTATTTTTGAGTTATTAAGCTACGCGTATAATATAACAAATTATTTCAGTACAACTTGGACTTCCAAGGGCTATCGACCAGGAGCGGTGGCTTTGGAGATCGTGGTGAAGACGGTAGCGGTGCCGGTTCCGGAGGCGAAGGTGGCAAAATGAGTGGTGGATCAGGCTCGGATGGATCCATGTGACAGTTCGGGATGGGGCGGAGGAGCAAAGGGGATGGTCGTCGCACCCGCGTGTCATTCCTGCTCTTCTGAGCCCGTGCTACATAAGCGAGCACAAAGCCCATAGACTATTTACATGGCTTCCAATCCCCATATAACCAATACTACAGGAAAATTACTTGCGGTATTTGGATTACCGGAAAGTTACCGGATAAGTTTCGCTCAACAAATAAAAGTATTATAACAATAATATTTACACATTGTACTTGTCTAATGTTTCCTCGTCATCGCCACTACGTCATCGTAACAGCGTCGGGAGAGAACGAGCCCGGCCACATGATCGATCGAAGCTGCGCAACGGCATATAATATTGTAACGTTTACCCAAAATGAGTATCGATCATAATATTTTAATGTTCGCATCCATTCATCGTGTTCGCCATTGTTGTTGAATTATATTTTTCGATCGACAACGATTTACCAAAGAGTTTTAATCATTCAGGGAGCGCTTCTACTATTCGAGGACCCAGACAATATTGTATAATATTATTACATTTTTTTGTCATTTGTTTCTCGTGGGATTATGTTGTGTAAGAAGAAACAGAATCGGACGGAATAATAATTACACGCAGTTTACTGTTTATCAAGTGTTACGACAAAATGACGCGTTCACAGTTTAACAGACAATATATTATATGCTCATGTCTTGAGCGAAAAGCAATATATACATATATTACAATGTTTATTATACGAATAATTTTCAATACATTTTTAATTTTTTTTTTTAATCATTGCTATAAAACATCACTTGAAATATAATTAAACTTAAGCACAATCTTAAGCTTATAGACAATCAGGCAATATAATTATTTATTAGGACACAGTTAAGAAAGATCCATCTGACATCGCGAAATGTACAAATACGAATAAATGAATAATAAAACGGTGTTCATTAGGATATCTTTTACGATGGGCTCAACCTAATATAATCGCTCATGTATTGAGTATACGGTTTGTTTTGATATTTACATCGTTCAGCTTTCGAGTAATAAAAACTAATAATCAATCACATAGGTGTATTATACATAGTTTTTTTTTTTTTTTGCATCTACCTCTAATGTTAAACAACCGTTTGATAAATAAATCGAATTTTTTTTAGCAATGAAAATGTGTAAATTTCGAAAGACTATTCACTAAATTTACTCCCGAGATGTTAAGACAATGGTCTTCCACTCACAAAAAAAAAAAAATAAAATATATTTCCATGTCAACAAAATTCAAAGTAGAATATTAAGCTATGTCTTCCCCAAATTGTGTTCCATTGCCCTATAACTTCCCGTGTGTTTTAACTTATTAGACATAACGATCTCTAAATAAAAATTAGTTTTTGATCAATATTTTATTATGAATTAATTATTTTAATAAACTTTGGAACAATTATGGCGTTTCATTTAAATGCCAAATTTTAAAAATTCGTTCATCTTTTTTGGCTTTACACATTTTTTATCGACCTTTAAAAATGATTTTGTAAATATATATACGTTAGACTGTGCCAAATTTTTGCAATAGTTTGATCAATTTTAAATCATTTATATGCCGTGTTATTTGTATGTATATTTATTAAAAAAATAATTTGTTATTACGAGTGAACAATTTGTATTTCTAACACGTTCACCGCATTATTACTAACGAGAACGTATTCATATTACAAATAGACACTGCGCGTAACATTCGTATAAGAACAAATGTCGTTTGCTTTGAACTGATGTCCAATTAACCGTGTACATAAAAAAAAAAAAAAATCGTTGAACGAATTACATTCTAAGCCATAATATTATAATATATTTATTTCCCGAAAGTGTAAACGTTGATCGTTCGTTTTGTTTTTTATTGATTAAATATTTTTTGTTCGGATTTCGTTCATCGACAATTATTTATCATTTTTAAGATCAATAATACATTTTTAAATCAATTACGTACTTTTTTCGTAATAAACTGTTTGATAAAATTATTTATTTATTATAATATATTACTATATAAATATGTTAGGAGCTTTTGTTTATTTGTTTTAATTATTATTATTATTTATAAAATATTAAAATCTAAATAATCATTTTTTAATTGATATCATGTAATCTAAAAACTGCTACATGAAATAATAATGATTTTAGAACTAAATAAGGAAAACATATATGTTCTTTATTTTATATTTGTTACGAATCACGCATCCTTCGAAACAGAATGTTGACGTATTTGAGGTGGTTAATTAGCTACTGACATTGTATATCTCAGGTTATATATTCATTAATTTCAGATTATTCAACGATTAATGATAAATTTATCAGTCTTCTCGTAATTTATTCACATTTTAAAAGTATTTAAAAACAAATTTATTTTAAAGTTAAAGCTATGAAATTGTGGGTTAAATATTCATAATTTTTCATTTTTATTCGTGAAAATTTTGATTTGACAACGTTTCAAGTTTGTCGAATTCTAAAAAAATCACATTACAAATAATTTCATTGCTATCACACAACCTTAACGTGAAACAATTATTCTTTAACTGAATTGGTTCAGCGCAACAATTATTAATCAAAACACACGTTATCGAATACAAAATAAAAATATAAATAAACAAAAACAATTTTTGTATTCGTTATTTTACGTTAAGCATACTTTTTTTAAGTGCAATATTTTAATATATTATTAACCACTTAAACCGAATGGATAAAAACCGATTTTTAAATGCCTGTTAACGTAATATTATTAACAATGTTTTATTCACTAATAAGAAATTGCATAAACCGTGTTTTCGTTATGAACAACAATGACAAACTGATAACTGCCAATCGAATCGGATATTGTAGTTTTACTATAGTTTTGTCTGGATGCCTCTGTTCTCCCGAAAAAGAAAAAAAAATTTTAATACGAAAATAAACGCATTGTCAAATCACTCGTTAAATTGTTGAAAACATAGTTTTATTTTTTATATTTATCAAGGCATTTTATTAATTTAGTTTATAAATTAGATTTTTAAAAATATATTGTACAAAGTAATATAGTTATATTTATTTTATTTGTTATATTACATTATGTAAAAAATCTGTTGTTAAATATTATTGTAGATTGCATTTTTTAATATTTAAGAGTTACATTTTTATGTTCATCTACCATATCTATAGTTGAGTTGTTTAACTTTAATTTTTAGACAGATGCGCTTGTCGAAAAGTAAAACTGCTTTTTTGTAAAGTCAATTTAGTTTGAAATCTAATTTAGATAAATCATTTAAACTTTAATATTATTATTATCGAAGAAAATATTAGAAAGAGTGTTTAAGCAAATACAATTTCGGTACCAGACAATCTTTTAATATATTTTATTTTAAAATTTCACTAACCCTTAGTTGTTAGTTGAATTTCAAATTGCAATTTAACTGTTTTTTACGTTGAAATTTGAACTTGTTTTTATAGCTTAAAATATAAGTATTTTTTTACCGTGTTGAATGTGAACGACGCCGAAAGCTATTTATAAGATACAAACTATTTACACCACTCTGTAAATCCAATATTAGTGAAATTTGTGGAATGTTGATCACATTATTGAAATATTTATATTTAAAAACAAAATTAAAACACACTCACACATATACACATACACACATATACACATCCATGTATACTTAAGATATACAAAAAAATATTGTGAGTGTATAATACTGTATTATTTTAGGCAAGACTAAAATTAATATTTATTATTTAATTTGTGGTATCATAATATAAAGCATCAGTGATTTTGTTTTTAATTATTTATTATATAAATAGACCGCGTTTTTGTCCGAATAACGTTTTTGACTTTGTATTTCGTCATTTTTTTCGAATTGTTTTTTTATATGCATGTAAAAAAATATATTTGTAAATGTTTTATTGTACATCTTCGTTAAAAAAACACTTGAATAATAAATACAATTAAAAAATTATTATTTGTTTATACCTTTTTAAAATTATAATAAAAAAATCATTTTATTTGTTAGTTTGATTTCGTACATAATTTATTATATTTTTACAACGGAAATTAAAATATAAAAAAAAAAAAAAAAAAAAAAATAACATGTAAGAATAAAAATAATATATACTTTAACAATGAGAGGGTACAATTTAATCGTGTAAAAGTATTACACTCAACCATTGAGAATCGGTTGGTTTTAAAAACTGATAACTATCACAGATCATTAAACACAATTTGAAACACGTAAAATAAATTAAAATAACAATGTATAATATAAAAATGTGTATTATTTAAATATTAGTCTTGAGTATGCAACATGGTTATTCAAAAGCTTGACACCAATCGTGTCGACGGTAAGGTCTTACCAAGACGTGTTTTACAGGAGCAACTTGGTGTTAGTCAAAATGTCAATGGTTATATTATAATATAATAGTAATAAGCTATATAAGAAGGCACAGGTCAAGTTTCCGGTCTCGAAACAAATGGTTAAAACGAATGGTAAAAAAAATGCAGGAAATAATATGGTAAACTGATTCACATTATGTGTGCTATGCTTACTTTAATTTTTCCACCAACCATCGATCTTATGTTTTTTCGTTGCATTCGGATCGTTAAAATTAATTTTTCATGTAAAATAGTGTTGCAAAAATCATTAGGCTATTTTCATACTATATCATGCAATACATTTAACCATCCGAATGTAACCGATCGATTGTACTACGCCACTCTGACCTTAACGTTCTGATAGTGTTCCTAGGTTATGCGATCAAAGTCACATATCTTATCATCGTATCATCTTAGTACTTATCATGGTGCACCATGGTTTGATATTTAATTACACTAATTGTAATCATTTTCATATTTTTTTTTCTAGTTCATATTCGTTTTTCCTTTTTTTTTTTTTTGCGTTTCGAAACATAAAAAAATGACCATGTGCTTTTACAACATTTTTTTAGTTCACAATATTTACTATAATATTTTAAAAAAAAAGATACAATCCTTAACAAAATATAAAATCGAATTTTTTCTTATAATAGTATTAGCTAAAATATAATATAATATGGTCTGTTTTTTGCATTAAACTTTTTAGTAAAAGATAGCATAGGTATTTAATATTAATATTTGAGTATTCGTAATAAGTTCGGCATCCATTTCGTTTCTTTTCTAAAACAAAATTCAAAACACTCGTATTATTTACTGTTTAGAAAAACGATATTGTTAGTATAAATATGAATTCGTGAAGTGTAAAATATCGAATTTATCGAATCTAAACAGGACAATTGATTCGTTTGCTAATAGCATTGGTTGCCTAAGACGAATGGCATGTACGAAATTAACTGCAGGAATGAGAAAATATTAAGAAAAAAAGTCGTTCAAAATTAATCAGAATTACATTCATAAAGTGTTAGGAACCCATAATACGATTAACTCGAAAGTTAACAAATCCGTTACTGGACTTATTTTATGGCCCATGTATCGTAGATGGGAGAGAAGAGAATACGAAATGAAACTTGGCTCGTAAACGAGTTCCCAATTGCGTTGGATCGCAGAAAAACACTGAAATGTAAACCTAATGTTTGAAGTGATTCGTCTACATGGCCATCGGTTCGTGAACTACCCGGATAAAGATTTTGTAGATTAAAACCCCGGGAATCGAACCCCGCAGTATCAAGGTTGCTCTACGACTAATTTACCCCGCCGCTGACGTGGTTGTCCCTCATCAATTTCCGATTCATTAAGCCAAACGATGTGTTAATCGTAATCAGTCGCGACGACAGAGAAATGGATCTAAATCGCGGGGTCGACACGAGTGGGCCGGTCCGATCACGTCTTGAAACAATTTGCTTACGTGTACTCATCTGCGGTCCGCAACGTCCGAGCCGACCGGCTTGTAGAATTTGTGCGCCTTTGTGTCCCTGGTGTGCTGGAACGGCGCTTGATTCCTCTCGATCAGCGGCACGGGGCACGGGCACGTGACCCTCGGCTTGTACTCGGTCCGGTAGTGGCTGGAGCTGGACTCGGCCGACGACTCGCCAAGACTGATGTGCGACCGGTTCGACGACCGCGTCACCCGTTCCTGCCGGTGCATCGAGCTCAGCGTGTTCCGGTTGTCCTGGGCCGACACCACAAACGTCGAGTCCAAAGTGTTGATGCTCCTCCTCTGGGCTGCGGCCGCGGACGAGCTGGTGTGCGGCGCCTCCACGAGCGTCACGTCCCCCTTGCGGTGCAGCACCGAGTTGCTGAGATCCGTGTTCGAGCTGATAACCGACTTGCGGTGATGCGATTGGTCGCCCGCACCGCCGCCGCTCTTCCGGTCCACCGAAGTGGACGACGAGCCGATGTTCAACACGTTCGAACTGGTGCTGTGCAGCGACTTCCTGTACGTGGCCGTGCTGTAGCTCTTCACCTCGCCGCTCATCGAACGGTGGTTGATCGACTGTTCGGATCTGTTATGCGATGAGGTGGCGGTCGACCGCGATTGGTCCTGATCGTGTTCGTTTCGGCCACCGTAATCGCCACGGGTGTAGGTCTTGTTCAGCAGGTCGTTGGACGCTGAGAACCGATCGGAACGCAGACCGGCCGCTGAGTAGTCTCGGCCCCTCGTGTTGTTCTCGTTGACGTTTCCGCTGCCCAACGATCGCCGTCCCGCCGCGTCCGTGCTGCCGACCATTTGACTGCTCGAATATTGTTCGGACCGTCGTCCCACGGACGACACGTTCCGGTCGCTCGTCGACTTCGTATCGGACAAGTTTATCACAAAACTCTCGGAACGTCGATTCCGGTCGCTGCCCGCAGCGTTCATATTGGTCGCATTCTGTCCA